ACTCAACACTTCTACTAGTATTCTCAAAGCGACGTCATCGATAATCTTGTCCAAGTCTCTCTCCGACTTCGGATCAAACGTCAGACCTTCTACCCTAGACATACAGCTTCGACGGGTTAACTGATACTGATGCGACCCAGCTTGCTTGGCATCATCTTTCGGCTTGTAAAACCGAAACCGTGCTTCTCCGCAACGATATTCAGCTTCGTCGTCGTCGCCCTTGTACTGAGCTACCGCCTCAATCGACTCAATTTGAGTTACCTCCACAGGTTCCTGCCGATACCGCCACTCTGTTCTGTCGTCAGCAGAACCGCGCAGGTCCTCCGTGGTTGAACTCAAACCGCCGTCGTGCTCGTGGGTAGTAGACTCGACCATGGTTTACTGTTGTTCTGCGTCCCCCCCTTTACCCTAAAAATTTACGACCCGTAGACGCGGCGCGCACACGACAAATAACGATACACGGCTACGACAGACCACATCAGGAACATCAGGAACATCAGCAGCAACCACCTCACCCGGTCAAGGGCTCTTCTAAGTGGGTGCTTCCCCCACAGGCACTAAGGGGGTACGGGCGAGCGAACGGGTGAGTGAGTGGACGAGTGAGCGGACTGGTTGCCTCGGGGCGTGTCCTTGGGGCGCTGCGTCCTTGCTCCCGTCGAGGTGTGCCCGGCTCTATCGTGAGGCTCAGGAGATATGTGATGTCGGGCTGAGAGAAAGGTGGAGCGGAAGGGGGCTCTAGCGGGAGAATGACAATATTGTCAACGCGCGGAGTGCGCGGGGGCGGGCTTTGAGTACGTGAAGGAAGTAAGCCCCAGCCCCAGCTGTGGAGTGGACATCCTCCCGGTACTTGCCGTTGGGATTCGGGATTGATCTGGGCGGCGCGCGTAGGCCGTGTGGAGCTGCGTGTAACGCTTCAGTGAGCTGCGATTCCGTGGTAGTGATGCAGGCAGACGAGGAATGCGGAGCGCGGACGAGTGCAGCTCGAGCAGCGACCCGACAGGGCCCGTCGCGGGAGTGTGTTGAGCCGTCAGGGTGTGCGACCGGGATCCGTCGTGTCGCCTTCGGTAGAGTTGTGTATTATTTTTGTGTGGCGCAAACCCTCTACACCCTGGCACCCCGTTCAGCGCTCGGCTCACGTACCCCAGCTCGCCCGTCTCTCGCACCCCAGCTCGCCCGTCTCTTGTACCCCAGCTCGCACCCCAGCCCGCCCGTCTCTTGTACCCCAGCTCGCCCGTCTCTTGTACCCCAGCTCGCCCGTCTCTTGTACCCCAGC